GGTTATCTACAGTAAACAGTATTACACAAAAATGGAGCAGGAGGATGAGGCGAGGGGATAAACCTGAATTCGGGGCGAGAGGCGGGGGGGGGGGGGCGCTGGGAAACTGGTGATTAGATGTTAATTTAACCGTTTTCCTATAATGTAACGTGCTTTTTCGACCTGCAGAGACTGGGTGGGGGGCAGATAATTGTTGATGTTCATGGTAACATATTGTGTGTAACAGTTAATCATGGTAACATACTGTGTGTAACAGTTAATCATGGTAACATATTGTGTGCAACAGTTGATCATGGTAACATATTGTGTGTAACAGTTAATCATGGTAACATATTGTGTGTAACAGTTGATCATGGTAACATATTGTGTGTAACAGTTAATCATGGTAACATATTGTGTGTAACAGTTGAAGTAACAAGTAAGGACCCTTTTCGACGTCTTCGGGCGTATCAGGTATATATATTTGTATAGACCGAACGGCACTTGGTGGGAGGGGGGATGTGGTCAGCATCCTACCTGCCGCCTTTACTTCCCAGGACTGTAGCTGGTACCTTTTCAAGGCTTTGTCGAGCTTGGAGTCCTCCATTAATGATGTGGAGAGGTACAATGATACACCTGCGGTAATTATGTGGAGAGGTACAATGATACACCTGCGTTAATGATGTGGAGAGGTAGAAAGACACACCTACATTAATGATGTGGAGAGGTACAATGATACACGTGCATTAATTATGTGGAGAGGTATAATGATACACCTGCGTTAATGATGTGGAGAGGTAGAAAGTCACACCTACATTAATGATGTGAAGAGGTACAAAGATACACCTGCGTTAATGATGTGGAGAGGTACAATGATACACCTGCGTTAATGATGTGGAGAGGTACAATGATACACCTGCATTAATGATGTGGAGAGGTACAATGACACACCTACATTAATGATATGGAGAGGTACAATGACACACCTGCATTAATGATATGGAGAGGTACAATGACACACCTACATTAATGATATGGAGAGGTACATTGACACACCTGCATTATTGATGTGGAGAGGTACAATAACACACCTACATTAATGATATGGAGAGGTACAATGATACACATGCGTTAATGATGTGGAGAGGTACAATGACACACCTGCAATATTGTTTTAGAGAGGTACAATGATACACCTGCATAAATGATGTTGGTGATTGTTAAAAAAAAAAAGATAACTGTGATGTATGGTAATGTGGCAAGGTGCAGTGGTATACCCATAATGATGATGAATAACTACAATGAGGATGATGATGACGTCAGTTACAAAAAAAATAAGGTAGATATAATTATATACCTTTAGTTAGAAAGTGGAGAGATGAAATGCAATTATATAATGATGATGATGATAATGATGATGATGGAACTATTCTGACTGGTAAATGACTAACTCAAATCTCGAGCAACAAACTTGTTTTACAAAATATAGTTCCGATTCTCACATGAAAGCAGGGATTTCAGATCAGACATCCAGCAGATATCCTTGCGCCACATTTACTTCTACCACTCACATGACGTCATAACAGAAATAGTTCCGGTAACAATAATTAAACTATACAAATTTAAACACTGCAGACATTGCTGTCTGTAATTTGTGTAGGTCTTCTACTTCCTTCCACTCAGCAATCATACTATAACAATTAATTCATATTTGTACAAGATAAGAATAACCCCAACGGCGAGTAGTCTGCTTATTCTTGAAAGTTCGAGAGAAGACTCTTCGAAAAATCGCATAGTTTTCATTTTTCTAGATAGTTCTAGAGCTTGTTTCGTCACGTGCTACCTTGAACAGGCTTGCTTCAATAACTCTAGAGATCCAGCTTATAATTACTGGAGACTTTCTGTCTGGAACGTTCAACGTGAGATTCTGAGGAACATTCTTAAATGTCGTGAATAATTGCACAAATTTATAAGGACACTGGCGTGGAGTCATTCGCTGCTCCAAGACCGAAAACCGTAACAAAGTTAATGCTTCACTGCAGGCCGCCTGCAACTGGTAGCCATGGTTACCACTGTTACATTCTAGCGATGCCTTCATTGAAGAGGATGGCGGTATCCGAAAGGTCACATTTCCAATATGTTTAAGTGTTCTGCTATTGTTAAGTTCCTACACTCGAGTTAGACTGATGAAATGGCAGCGTCTGTTGTTTCTGTGTGTCTCGAGTCTTTAACGCTGTGAATCCTAATCGTTTCAGTTATACTCTTCCTTTGTAGAGTTTACGGTGTTTCCCTTCTTCTAGTTTCCTGTGTTGTTTTTGTCAAGTCTTTAGAGAACTGTTTTGTCTTGGTTGTTGTTGCTAATGCATTGGATTTCTAGATGACGCGTGTCAGACATTACTTCCGGGAGGTTATCTGACTGGGTGTTGAAAACTATCCATTAGCGAATAATTGTCATTCTTCTACATCTTCCCTTCAGATGATGTGTTCTTGCAAAATGAAAAATAGGTTGTTTAAGCTAGTGAAAGGTCATAGGTATATCATATTCTAGAGAAAAGGCAACAGGTATTTGATATTCTAATGAAATGTAAGTCTTCTCATTTTTGATACAGATGTTCTTTCTGCCTGTGTGGGTCCTATGACCCGTTTTGTGGGTGTAGGGGGCAGAGGAGGGGGGGGGGGGGTGTGTGTAAGGATAGGCCCAATACTCCTAAAAAAAAAGCACACAATAAAAGGCTACTAATTGGGAGTGCTGTTTTAAGAAGTTGAAGTGGATCTGTCTGAGAGGCACTTTTACAGTGTGCTCACAAGTAAGTCATGTTTGTAAAACGGATGTGCACGCAAACCTCTTGTTCTTGAACAAAACTAAGAAGTGGACAAACAACAATAACTTTCTTTTGAAATTGACAGCCGCTGAGCGTAAAAGAAAAGGAGATATGCGTCTTGTCATCATGTCAGATTGTTCCCCAATATCTTCCCTTTTGTTCTGTGATCTCAAACTTGCTACTGTTTTCCCCGCCCTCGTGGCAAAAAAATGTAATTCTCCTTCTGATGCAATCAGTCAGGTCTCCTTTGCAGTAATGTATTAAAATCACATTCTCCAAAGACGTTAGAGATTACACGGAATTCAGTGAACAAAGTTGTGTCATCATTGCGGGGCGGTCACAACAAAACTTTTTTTTCTTCTCTTATTAGCGTTCACCAGCTGTAAACTCGGCTGGAAAGTTATGGTCGTTCGTTGACTTCTGGATCTTAATCCCGTTCGAGCACTTGTGTTTTGCCGCGGTCAGATCACCCCAATTTTTTTTATTTATTGACAGAACAGGCTTGTTTATACGCACACTGTGGTTCCTGGTCTTTCAGTCAGACACACTCCGACTTGGAAGGAAAAGTCTAAACAGTCAACTCTTACAACATGCTGGTTGGGGAGGCAGTTGGGCTGTTCTTGTTCCGCTCTTTAATGGGGCCCCAGGAACACACACGGAGACAACAAAGCTCCTCGTGTATGCTAGGTTACATACGACGTGTTGAAGCAGACCCTCGCTGACGTAACCAAAACGTTCTCAGGTTTTGCGTTTGACGTAACTTGTGGCAGCAGTACACAATCACAGACAAGAACAACCTAGCCATTTCCAAAATTAGTACTTCTTTGCTGGAGCATACAGCAATTACAACATACCTGAGGGCATGTGCGCTTCCCGAGATATATAAATGTGGGTTCTAGTTAGGAGGTATAACATTTTTAAAAAAAAAAAACGCAGGAAAAAGTACAAGGAGGTATAAAAACGTGTGTTTTCTTAGAAAGAAATGCGTAACAAAACTGGCTGTTTATCATTTCATTAGGCAATCCTATGTTAAAAAGTGTGCCATTGCTACCTGGAGGGTCGACTTTTTATGCCACTGTAGACATCAAAGCAAAAACGTTTTGCTGCCAAATAGCACGCAAGCTGGAACAGAAGCGGATGCACCAGGATTACGAAGCGCGTTGTGATGCCTACAACACAGACACACAAACAGGTAGTTAATTTCTACAAGCAGTAAGTCTCTTTGTTAGAATCCACGTGCCTTTTTCTCCCTCGCCTGAACACTTCCAGAACAGAGTTTCTCTTATTACTTTTCACAAACTCGGATCTCTCCGGGTTAACGTCTTTGTGTCTTCTTGATCGTATCACATTATTGAAACACGGATTCTGTGTCGTGAGTCTGAGGAGTTAGGGCCTTATGGCTGCTGCTGTCTCCGCGGACTGTGAAGGTTAGGATGTTTAATTCTGCCCTCGACAGAAAAACTCCATCACCTTACTGGGGTCAATCGCTGGTCTCACACATGGGAGCTCGATATTGTAACCGCTCGGACAACCGCTCCTGCCTCTTTCTTAACCGTTCTTGTAAACATTGAGACTTGTAGGACTATGGTGCTTTCTGTTCCTGTTCAATTTCTAAAGACACCATCTTTGTCAGTGTTCTGTTGTCTTCTTCAACAAATTCTTCTTGGTGTGAAGAAACAAGTTAGACAAAGAGTGCCCAACTTGCTTATCTGACCATATCTTGCTGAATGCATAATAACGGAGCTTCTTTCAGTGCCTTATTGTTATAGAAGCACCTTCTCCGCATCAAGCTGTCCCTTTATTCGTGCCCATAACAGCATACCACTTGTGGTATCATTCTCTATCTGAATGACATCGGGACAGTTGTGACGTCATACTCCGTTAGGAGTCATGTCTCGTTGTCCTATTATATGAGGTACTGATTTTGACCACTGGATAATATAACATGAACCTCAACTGACCAACAGCTGGGGAAGTCGTTTACATCACATAGTACCAGCTGTACAGCCGAGTCAAAGACTGCCGTTCCTGCTTCCCTCTTCAGAAGAGAATCATAAATATGAAAGAAGTGCTGAGAAGTGATTTGTATCCCCGCCAGCATGTGATAGGTCGGTGAAGAACATCGATGTTCTATCTCTGGAACACCAGAATTCATGTGCAGGTCAGTGCAAGACTGTGAAGAAAGAGGTTATGATTGTCTTAGACATGACTAAGGGGCAGTGGTTTTGCTGGCTGGTAGTTGGTCGTTGTGTATTTCCTACTGTGATAATTGTTTTTGTGACAAAGCGTGCCGTAAAAAAGCTTCCGCCATGAGTCCAAAGTCTTGCTGGACCAAATCCAGAAGCCGGAAGTGGTCCCTATCACTAAAGACATGAAATACTTCAGCATAAATACAGTGTAGTCTGGCACAGCGGGGTTGTCGTAGCAGGGGCAGGTTCGAGTCTTTTCCCATCGTTCTCTTAAGTGTTGTTCGTAAAAGTAGCAGGCAATGACGATTGTGGCCGGAACAGTGTAGAGGACAGAGAAGACTCCAATCCGAATCATCAGTCTCTCAAGTTTGTCCGTTTTGCCCCGACCCTGTTGTTTAATGACGTTTCGGATACGAAACAGCGAGACGAATCCGGCGAGAAGAAACGATGTTCCGATAATAAGATACACAAACAGAGGAGCCAGAACAAATCCCCTAAGGTTGTCCAAACTCTGGTTGCCAACGTAGCAGATTCCTGCAATAGGATCTCCATCTACTGAAGACATGGCTAGAACCGCTATGCTTTTGACGCTGGGAATCAACCAGGCCGCCAAGTGGAAGTACTGGGAGTAACTAGCGATGGCTTCTTGACCCCATTTCAATCCAGCAGCCAAGAACCAAGTGAAGGCCAGGATCACCCACCAGATGGAAGATGCCATGCCAAAGAAGTACACCAGCAGAAACACCACGGTACAAACAGCAGGACCTGTGGTCTCATAACGAATAACGTCCGAATCACAAGCAACTGCCTCGTGACCAACAATGAGTCTGATGATGTAACCAATACTGACCATCAAGTAGCAGGCACTGAGGAAGATGATGGGTCGCTCTGGATACTTAAACCTCTTCATGTCCACGAAGAAAGTCGACACTGTCATAGACGTGGAGATGCAGCACAGGATGGACCACAGCCCGACCCAGAATGTGGCAAAGGTTTTCTCATTGTCGCCGAAATATGGGCTGTAGCAGTTGATGGCACAGTTGAGGACTGAGCCCGTTCTCAGCTTGTCGAAGTAGCTGCTCGATGACTCGGTGATCGACTGTAGATGGAAAGATTTGAAGAAAAAAAACGTGTTAGTCTTGGTGTCCCTGTTTGTATTTTCCCGCCTCTTTTACTCTTTTAATGCGCAGATATTTTAGACGACTTTCTAACTTAGCTTTATCTTGTATCGAACAAGTGTGGCACAGCCATGCTGAAATCTGCCCACTGTCTATTACTTCCATTTGTGACCAATGTACCATATATTATTTCCATTTTTGACCAATTTACCATATATTATTCCCAATTTCTGACATGTAACATATGTTATTCTTATATTTGACCAATGTTCCATATATTATTCCCATGTCTGACGAATGTAACATATAGAGTACCCATATCTGGCCAATGTACCATATAATACTGCCATATCTTAATAGCGTATCATACATTATTCCCATGTCTGACCAATGTAGCATATAGTTTTCCCATATATTGCAAAAGTACCATATATTATTCCCACGTCTGACGAATGTAACATATAGAGTACCCATATCTGGCCAATGTACCATATATTATTTCCATATCTGACCTGTCTACCATATATTTTTGTATATGTCAGCATTGTACAATACCCTGTTCTGAAATCTGACCAATGCACATGAACATTATTTTTATATTTGACCAGCCTATAAATTACTCTAATATCTGACCAATTCATTCAGCATTATTCTCATAAATAGCAGTATACCATATTCTACTCTGTCATTACTAACTTAACATATACGCCACCTATGAAGACGAGGTCGGAGAAAATGAAGAAGAAAAAGATGATGAAGGTGGAGATGTCGAAGGCGAAGACGATGAAAGCGAAAACGATGAAGGCGAAGACGATGAAGGCGAAGACGATGAAGGCGAAGACGATAACGACGAATAGAAGAAGAAGACGACAAAGAAGAAGAAGACGAAGTCGGAGAAGATGAAGAAGAAGAAGACGCTGAAGGTGAAGACGTCGAAGGCGAAGACGATGAAGACAAAGACGATGAAGAGAAATACAAGAAGAAGACGACGAAGAAGAAGATGACGATGAAGGCGAAAAGGATAAAGGCGAAAACGACGAAGGCGAAGACGATAAGGACGAATAGAAGAAGAAGACGACAAAGAAGAAGACGAAGAAGAAAACAAGTTATTTAACATTCATGTGAAAGACTGACTGAAAAACCAACGCTTTTTGCTTGTGTGTGAGAAGAAAATTTTTAAACCTTTTAGCAATGTTCCGCCATAATTACAGTGTAATTGAGGCAATTAGTAATTTTTTTTTGTCTCTCTTGCCTGTGCTACTTTCTCCCCTGAGGTTTATTATCTCTTTCTGTCTGTGTGTTATGTTGAATTCATTTTGTTCAGACCGTCTTTACTGGTCGAATGTTTGCTTTTTTGGCTTGCATTGCCTAACCCGGTTTAACTGGCTCGTCAGCAATCTACAAATAATGAACCGTCTTCCCAGTGAAGGATGCTTCCAATCAGGACTGCAGACACACAAAAGCAATTGAGAATTGGGGGACGGAATCAGTCGCACTTATTTTCTAGGAGGTAGACTCAATCTTCCATTGATTTAAGTTTGTAATAATTCTAATGGTTATGTTCTGATTTACAGCTAGGCTGCACACCTTTCGGTCCAAGACATCCGATTTGCGTGTTTTAGTTGAAAGGCTGTGGAGCGACGTTTTTAATTCATCATCATCATCAATTTCCACTTCTGTCGTTTAGCGGCGTGGGGAGCCACGGTTTGCAGATCCATTGCTTGATGAGCAGAATGGCTATTGTCATTCCGTGTCGGTGTAGAAGCTCTTTAATGGCATTAATCCATTGTCTTCTAGAGCGACCTCTAGCTTTCAGATCAGATCTTTTCACGTGTAGCGCCCGCGAATGGTAGTTGTTCTGGCTGCATTCTTTGATCTTCTGTTTCTCAATGATTTTTTTTTTTTTTTTTTGCATGGTGTTGTTCCTACAGTCTGTCTGAGAATGCCATTTCTAACTCTGCCTCGGAGGGTTAAGTTGGCGGCTTTTCTCAAGCATTTAATTTCACAGTTGTTAATTATGTTTTGATATATTGATATACGAATGCGAATCAATGACATTTAGTAAATTAGTAAAAACGTTTTTGGAAGCTGCGGTGACGTGGTTTTATAGATAGATTATGAGAATATCCTGGACAGACAAACAGAGTAACGAAGACGTCTTGAAAGAAACTGACTCACGAAGAGAACTGATTGCCCAGATAAGAAAGAGGCAATCTGCCTTCTTTGGTCATGTGATGAGAATAAGAAAATTGGAGTACATCATGACAGTAGGAAAGCTGGAGGGGAAGAGAGGCAGAGGGAGACCTAGAGAACAGATGCTGGACAGTTTGACATCATAGCATGGAAGATCATCTGTTTCAGAGTTGACTGAAAGTACAAGAGACAGAAGGTTGTGGATAGACATGACTACCAACGCTACACGGCATGGACTTTAAAAAGAAGAATTACGTTTACACTGTCAATTTATATTTTTAAATTTATTTGGAACAACTCTTATTCTACGTGTACAAACGGCTTGGGCGCTTTGCTGAAGAAGAAAATCGTCCCTTTCAAGTACAAACGGCTTGGGCGCTTTGCTGAAGAAGAAAATCGTCCCTTTCAAAGAGCATCTTGAAGGGGGAGCTTTAGGTTATAATTGTGATTAGGGTATGTGCGCCAAATAAACTTGTTTAACAGTGCACGCCACCAAGAGCCCTGAAAATAACTCCTGCAGTGTTGATGCGATCAGAGGAGGTAGACCCAGATACTGTCCCGACCAGCGACGAAGTCGTCAATGGCGAGCCAGGGGACAACTCCGTCGCCGATAGGCTGGACAACGCTTTTAGTATATATATTTTTAAAGGCGTCAGTGCAACTCTTTGAATCTGTATATTTACATGGTTTCGGGACATCTATGTTAATCCGTATGCTGAAACGTTTTTTTTTTTGTGACAATTACTTTAATGTATATGTACATGCTGAAATTGCTCAGGACACATCGGTTTTCTCATATGTGTAAACGGCTTCCTATTAAAATTTATTCATCGAAACGGCTTAGATACCACTGCTTGTTTATCTCATTTTGGATGAGTAATTATTGACGTTATCTAATTGTCGCTTTTTGTTCCCATTAGCGGCTACCCATTTATCGTTGCCACTGAGACGTTTACGTACTCTGTATCTTTTCACATTTTTGACATCTGTGTACTACAATCAATATTATTTCTGCTATCGTCACCATCATTGTCAAACACAAAAACAACAACCTAACAATAGCCAAAAGGACCAGCCTACCTTCAAGGGGTGCTCACATTTGCAAGCACAGTCTCTTGGCGTTGCAGTCGGGGCTAAATCTCCGGGGACGGGCCTGACACCCCCCGGATTGACATTAACCACCGGCATCCCCACGGCCATGCCTCCTGACCCTCCCGGCCTCCTCCTAGATGATTCTGCGCCGTCTCCGCCCTTGCCCGGGGCTGGGGTCGGTCGGTTATAGGCGGGGTTTGACGGGGGAGGAGTGTTCCGGTCCGTGATATTGGCGTCCATGCATAAAGTTTCCTTGTCTCCGTATTCGGGCAGGATCTCACATTTCATTCTCTCAGGCCAGGCGAATCCGTACTGTCTGCGGAGAAAACGATGAATAATATTTACAATACGGATGGAAGGTGAAAACCATCACATACAAGTAAGTTTGGTAAACACAACGACACAAGGTATATCCGAATTTATGCACATAATAAACATACAACATATTTTTTTAAAGAGAAAAACTACAAACTAACGGCCAGAACGTGACAGCCACCATACACGTTTCACGATATAAAGGAATAGTTTTGGTTTCTTAACAAAGGAAATGTTTAGTGTGTGGGGGACAGACATTTAAATAACAGTATGCCTTCACGGAGAGAAGGTGAAAAACTATCATACGGATGTGACTTAGCAAGGCAAATTGCGATTGTTTGCAGTAGGAAACATATACAACATAACAGAGGTCGACGATGAAAGCTCTGTGAATAGATATGAAAGTTAACAGAAACTTTACAGAAAATGTCGTTTTACTTATAAAGAAACTAACAACAAGTGTCTCTGTCAACAGAAAGTGTCTCTGTCAACAGAAAGTGTCTCTGTCAAAAGAAAGTGTCTCTGTCAACAAAAAGTGTCTCTGTCAACAGAAAGTGTCTCTGTCAATAGAAAGTGTCTCTGTCAACAGAAAGTGTCTCTGTCAACAGAAAGTGTCTCTGTCAATAGAAAGTGTCTCTGTCAACAGAAAGTGTCTCTGTCAACAGAAAGTGTCTCTGTCAACAAAAAGTGTCTCTGTCAACAGAAAGTGTCTCTGTCAACAGAAAGTGTCTCTGTCAACAAAAAGTGTCTCTGTCAACAGAAAGTGTCTCTGTCAACAGAAAGTGTCTCTGTCAACAGAAAGTGTCTCTGTCAACAGAAAGTGTCTCTGTCAACAGAAAGTGTCTCTGTCAACAGAAAGTGTCATCACTTTTTCCTACAGTATTTAACTGGATATTTTCCACAGGTATCCATCTAATGGTCGGCTCTGTGGCTAAGTCGATGCGAACGCTTCGTAATGCCGGGGTGCCTGGTTCCATCCCAGCTGCGGGCCATGCGCCTTGCGTTGGTTTCGACAGTGGAATCAGGGGGCCGACAGTCTAGAAGCAATGGCAAACTACTGGACGTAAATTTGCCTAGAGAAACCACACATCAGTCAGGAGCTGCAACGTCCTGTAAAGGATACGCAACTAGCCTTTATCCATCTAATGTCTCTTCTGAATGTTTATTCAAGGAAGATTTAATCAACTGTCGGCTCGCTGGGTCTGTCGCAGTTTAAGAGAATATTTAACCTGATGGATCCCATGTCATCTGACGAGCTATAGCCCGGTTAACGTCAGGCCTCGCGGCCTAGGTAAGCAATAGATAGATGGAATATCCGAGGGCAGCCAATACCAGAATCTACAGCACATACCAAGGTTCTCACTCGATACCTCTTCAAAACCTGACGCTGAAAGGCTATGCAGCAGCGGTTTTCGGCCTGCCGGTCGCGACCCTTTCTTGGGTCGAACGACCCTTTCACAGGGGTCGCATAAGCTAATCGGAAAACACATATTCGTAGAAGTTATGGAGGAAAATAATTGTTTGGGGGTCGTCACAACATAAGGGATCTGTATTAAAGGGTCGCGGCCTTAGGAAGGTTGAGAGCCACTGTTGTGTAGGATAAGAGGAGAAGGAGAATAAAATGTAAACCTCGATTACACGAATAGAAAGGGACCGAAAATCAAGTGTTCGTATTAAAGTAATTCCTGCTTAATTCTACAGATGTATGAATTAAAAATAGGTGATCGCTGGTGGACCATCATGTTGTTCATGCTAAACGAATGTTCGGTTTAAACTAGTTCGTGTTAACAAGGTTCTAATGTACAACAAATCAAACATAAAGTCACACGGTTTACTGGTTATCATTAAAAACCTAACTAAAAGAGACTGTTTTAGTCAAGAAAGTGCCAACATCTTTTCTTTAAAAAAGTTACTCGTAATCTTTTTACTATAAAGAAAATAACAATACATTTGTCCACACCAACTGTATCTACCAGCGTTACACTTATTTAATCAAACCCGGTAACTGTTGACCAACAAACACTCTACATATATTCCGCAGAAGAAAAGGTTTGCAGGCGCTATCGATACCCTCCTTATCCAGTGCGCCGCCCATATCTCATTCAATTACACGGTCCTGTTAAACTAGAGCCACAACGGTTCAAATTCTGTTGATCTATTGATACACGATATCTCGATCGGCTAGTTTGTTTTCCTTTAGTCGCCGTGAAACTGGATAACACGAACAAATACGGTAATTAACATGGCGGCTAGTTTATCTAGTGGAATCGCCGTACTTCTGATAATAAAGGTCCAGTGTGTGATTTGATGAAAATAAACAAGATTGAAGGTGATTTCATGTTAGGAGATAGGCTTTGTTTTGAGGGTGAATATTAATTACACGAAAGGCATATCGGGCTCCTACAGGGAAAATAATATCTTCCTTCTTCTTCTTCTTCTTCGCTTTCACCGGCGACCGCAGCGGAAAGTTCTGGTTGTTCGTCCACTTCTGTACTCTAGTCAGATTCCAGAACCTGAGTGTTGCGTGCATATCCGTTTTACAGATCTGACTCTTTGCGTGCAGGCCTTTGGTTCCTTGTCTCTCAGACAGAGGCACTCCTACTTCGAAGGAAGCTCCCAATTAGTCGACTCTTACAACACGCTTTTGGGCAGGCAGTGGGTCTATTCTTGTTTTCCCCACAGTGGGACCCCAGAAGCTACACGGGGACAAGGACAACATGAGTACAAACCTACTAAGTATGTTACTTAAAAGGGACTTGGAACACGCTAACCAAAAATTCAGGTATTACAATATTATAAACATCAAAATTACAGTATTGCTAGCACTTTTCTTTAAGCTCACCCCATCTTGGGAACTCTCTGATTTCGCGGTGAGTAAAAATATTGTGGGATCGGGTTATTCGGTGTTCATTTTACAGTGGGTGCTCCTACACTTTTCAACTTCTCCAGGAACTCCCATTTCAAATCTGGGATTCCCCTAGACGGGGTGTATTAAAGGGAAAGAATCCCATTTTCTTTGAGTACAAGACGCTACCATGTATAAGACGACCCATATTTTCCGAGCTCCAAATTACAGTTTTTGTTTGCTTCTTGGGGGAAGCCCTGTTTTGAGTTTCGGTCCGCTCACGCTAATTAGCCGATACATCTTTTTCATGTCGACCTTGAAAATTTAATCCGGATTATCCCCAAACACCCATCGATGACTTCGTCAATCCACATCTGGGGCTTTTGTTGGGACGCCTAATCATTACCTCACACCCGTCAGTTGTTACACGAGTTCTTAATCCTCTCTTTTTCTCCGGGAGCCTCCCGGAGATCTCCCTGGAGGACCTCCAGGGGACAATCTCCTCAAATTAACCTACTTCAAATGTACTGTCCCAGAATTTACTGGTCAAGTTCGGCTTGCCAGGACAATGGAAAACTGGTGCGGAACCATAATTATTTCACAGTTGAGTGATCCGGAATTATCACTTTTACTAACTGTCATTTATATAGGTTAGGTTAGTTGCGTTTCCTTTACAGGACGTTGCAGAACCAACCCCAACAACCCCTGGCTGTTGTGTGGTTTTTCTAGGCAAATTTACGTCCAGTAGTTTGCCATTGCTTACTGGACGGTCGGCTTTCCTAACACCACTGTCGTAACCAACGCATGCGCATGGCCCGCAGCTGGGATCGAACCCGGCATCCTGGCAATACCAAGCGTTCGCATCGACTTAGCCACAAGCCGACTAGTTATTTATATATTAGAATAAAAACCAGTTCTTCCCTGTATGGGTTCAGGGACTCCATTGTGGGGGAAACAAGAACAGACCCACTGCCCGCCTAAACAGCATGGTGTAAGAGTCCGTTAACTGAGGGTTTCCTTTTTCCTCTAAAATGGGAGTGTATCTGCCTAATAGACAAGAAACCAACATTCTGCATAAAAATAGGTCAGATATGTACAACGAATGTGCACACAACACTCAGGTTCTAAAACAAAAATAAAGTCTAGAGGTGAACGAGCAGCCGGAACTTTCCGCCGGAGTTTACAGCCGGTGATCGCAAAGAAAAAGATGAAGAAGGAAAAGAAGAAGAAGAAGAAGAAGAAGAAGTAGTAGTAGTAGTAGTAGTAGTAGTAGTAGTAGTAGTAGTAGTAGTAGTAGTAGTAGTAGTAGTAGTAGTAGTAGTAGTAGTAGTAGTAGTAGTAGTTGTAGTAGTATTAGTAGCAGTAGAAAAAGAAGAAAAAGAAGAAGAAGAAGAAAAAGAAGAAGAAGGAGGAGGAGGAGAAGAAGAAGAAGAAGAAGAAGAAGAAGAAGAAGAAGAAGAAGAAGAAGAAGAAGAAGAAGAAGAAGAAGAAAGAAGAAGAAAGAAGAAGAGAAGAAGAAGAAGAAGAAGAAGAAGAAGAAGAAGAAGAAGAAGAAGAAGAAGAAGAAGAAGAAGAAGAAGAAGAAGAAGAAGAAGAAGAAGAAGAAGAAGAAGAAGAAGAAGAAGAAGAAGAAAAAGAAGAAGAAGAAGAAAGAAGAAAGAAGAAAGAAGAAGAAGAAGAAGAAGAAGAAGAAGAAGAAGAAGAAGAAGAAGAAGAAGAAGAAGAAGAAGAAGAAGAAGAAGAAGAAGAAGAAGAAGAAGATGTTCTCCCTTCCCCGAAATGGGGCTCTAGAGACCACATGACGATGGATTAAACCTATGTATTAGCCTTCCTCCCAAACCGAGGTTTCATCAACACTAGCCTATAAATTAAATTGCCTAAACCCTTTGTCACAAGTGCACGGTCCAGCCAGGTCTGACACAGCTTAGGGAAGGTTAAATACAAGCGTGCCCTTTCTTGTACTAGCTCCGAGTGGACACTAACGAATGGGAAGCATTGCAATACAGGGGTGCCTACGCAAGTGCGGAAAAAAGGGAATGGAAAAGGGGGAGGGGATGGGGGAGGCCTCAGACTTTGTTACAAATTGTTAGGGAAGACTAGGCATGGTAGAATGTTTATCTTCGAATTTACTTTTGCTTCCGATAGCGTTTTGCTTATGTATTTTCCACACATGGGGTGTAATCTACGGTTTCGCTGCCTGAGTTTAGTGCTTGGTGCAGCCCTGTGAGCTGTTTTTTTCTTCTTCAAATGGACTGCCTTCCATTTGTGCAGCTGTTGAGTCGTTGTATCCAATATGGCCGGTAGCCGGTTTACATGTGGGCTGGTGAAATATCTTATGCAACAGTTCTACGTGCGTATAGACAACTTATCGTGTCCGACTGCTTTCAATAATGGAAAAGTGCATTTCTGGTGGCGACTGTTGGTTTTGGCGCCTCTGGCAACTGCCATATGCATTTACTGCCTTCGCATATTTCTGGATTGTGCCGTCTCTTCACGATTTTTCAAATGGGACCGTGAGGGACATTTCATCTAATTTTTTTACAGGAACGGAGCTAGTATAGGATGACCCGATTACAGTAAAGTTGAAATCTCGACTAAGACAAATTAGGAGAAAGGTGGGGTTCAAGGGACGAAAGACTTGATTGTTAGAGTGTAATAATAATAATGATAATAATAATGTGCTCAATGGCTAATACATATATTTAAAGAAAAAGAAAAAAAAAACGCATAGACAAATTCCTTTAAAAAAAAGAGCTTTTTTAAATGGTATATGAACACTGACAGGTTTTCTGGGTTAAAAAGAGGAGGGGGAGGGGGGGGGGCAGCCCCTTTAAATTAGTATGGGGTGGGGGACTTTGGGGGGGGGGGTCTAACCCACCAGGTTCAGCGCCTCAGCACACCTGGTGCCCCGAGGGATACAGATAACCAAACTATCGCCTGACCCGACGTATCTGAACAATTAACTCATTTATCCACGCGTGCCAAGTGGCACGGTTGTTGTCAGGCCAGTTAGTTAGGGTTGAACTTCATGTGAACCATCATTTTGTGTTGAATATTCACTTTGCTTTTAGGCCCAGATTGGTGCTTGCAACTTGGAAGTTAGGAACGTAGCTGCATAATTCCGATCTGTCGTATACACTTTTTTGGAGGTCGGGAAAAGTCTTTAAGTGCCTTATAATAAAAATAATAATAATGTGCTGAGCTCTCCCCCACCCTCCTCCACCAACCCAAAGGGCCTTTCTTACTAGACCCAGACCTACAATGTGTTTGTATAATGACCCTTTTCTGAACAATGGTGCCCTGGACACGTGGGGTGTACTCGTGCTTTTATTGACAACTCGAATTTGTGTTTAACATTACGATGGCCTTTACTTCCATGGGTACTGTATAACACTTAAGTAAGTTAGTTGCGTATCCTTTACAGGACGTTGCAGAACCAACCCCAACAGCCCCTTGCTGTTGTGTGGTGTCTCTAGGCAATTTACATCCAGTAGTTTGCCATTGCTTCTGGACGGTCGGCTTTCTTGATCCCACTGTCGAAACCAACGCAAGGCGCATTGCCCGCAGCTGGGATCGAACCTGGCATCCCGGCATTACGAAGCGAAGCGTTCGCATCGACTTAGCCACAGAGCCGACGTATAACACACTTATTTGTGTGTAATAGGAAGAGAAAGGGGGACAGGAGAGAGAGAGAGAGAGAGAGAGAGAGAGAGAGAGAGAGAGAGAGAGAGAGAGAGAGAGAGAGAGAGAGAGAGATGGGGGAGGGCGATAGAGAAGAGAGAAAGACATTGCAATTATTACATTTGAAGTAATCAGGCGTGTCCCTACTCATCGTAACACTCACGCAAACACAAACAAACACACACATACACACAGAGAGAGAGAGAGAGAGAGAGAGAGAGAGAGAGAGAGAGAGAGAGAGAGAGAGAGAGAGAGAGATTTGGAGAAGAGATTCCATAGCTTAATGTGATACTCGAAATATTAGGAAATATGCCATTAATTCTCAGTAACACTCACACACACGCATACTTAAAAAGAAAGATTGAGGACAGATAGACGTAGCGAGAGCGGGAGACATAGACTATTACATCATAAGCAATAGGACGTATGTCCTTACCTCATCAACGGAGCGCAGCCATCTCTGGCACGCTCACAGACAGACCTGCAGGCCGGTAGATGCCTCTTATAGTTCTCCATACAAATGGGTGCGTACATGCTGCACAGGAAGAACTTCAGATCAGAAGAACACTGAATCTCCACCAAAGGCCAAAACTGATGCACCTCTAGCCCTGCCTCCTCCTGTGTATCGTGATTAAATTGGTTCGGCATGTAGGTCATGTTATAACCAATTCCCTTACACATAGGAATTGTAACTTCTTGGCACTTCCGGACTTCGCCGCTTCCGGCGATTACGTAGACCACATCCTTGGGTAATAACGAGGTCAAGGCAAACATGGCGGTAATAGCCGTCAAGATGCCAGACAGTGAACGCTCAAGCAGTACAGCCATATTGACAACAACTATTTTCAATTGTTTCGAGGAATTAAGAACATTGTCCCATTAAAAATAAATCCAGTTGCAACTTCTCTCGGATAATTCAGATGTTGTCCCTACAGCGCCAGGTCGACCGTCCTGTGTCTGACCTCCTTTCAACCACTTAAAAATGCCGAGTGCTTCAGTATTCAACCACTCGTCTTCTTCGAGTGTTTTTACTGTAGCCGAACTGGGAGACTTTAGAGCCTTGCCGCTGTCGCATGGTGGCTATATGGTAATGGTGTCAGTGTGACTCATGTTTGAGCCTTAGTAGCGACATATGACGTATGTGAATCAGGACGTTGGACATATCTTGTACAAATCTGCCTTTGACTGTTTGTGTAGTAGACTCTGTTGTGACTTTTTCATCTATGGCATTGCGCTTTCACCGGTCACTACGCCTGCAAAGAAATAGAGAATAATACGTTTACGGTAAAATATGAAATAATGTTATTTGTATAAAAATGTATTAAACACTTATACTGCTAACCTCTGCGGACGATTTGTCTTGCGTTGGTTTCGACAGTGGCACCGAGAGCTGACTGTTCAGTAGCAATGGTAAACTATTGATCGCAACATTTGACTAGAAAGACCGCAACAACAATAACAAACGCTGGGGTTGGTTTTGCAACGTCATGTAAAGGATACGCAACTAACTTAACTGTTAACCTGGCATTTAACTGAAAATACAGGAAGGACTGTTACTGGAACCCACGAAGCAAAAGAGGAAAAGGGAGACCCAAACGAACATGAGGAAAAGAGTAACAGGCACACAAGCAACGTCATAGGAAGTAAAGGCAGCCGGCGTGATCACATCTTCCACAGAATGTTGACTGGTCTATAATATAGGTCTAGTACTAAATGACTAATACACCTGCAGGTGTTGAAGAGGGTCCTTTCACCTGTCTCAATGCGGTCTATCCCCCCCCCCCCCAACAGATGAAGCTATCTCAGCAGCGATGAACCGTCAGCCAGTACCAGGTACTACTCCCCATAATGGCAAGCCTGGTGTTATGCCGCAGAAATGTTTATTTCCCCCCACCTCCAGACTAATAATAACAACAGATGGTGCCAGAGAACATCTACAGCCCCTTGTCTGCTCTGCTCTCGGGATCCCTGGAGTATTATGGACACACACACAGAGAGAGAGAGAGAGAGAGAGAGAGAGAGAGAGAGAGAGAGAGAGAGAGAGAGAGAGAGAGAGAGAGAGAGCAAAATACTGGCATTTATTTGGATCCTTCTTCTTCTTCGCGTTCACCGGCTGTAAGTTCTGGTTGTTCATCCACCTCTAGATTTTAGACTTGTTCCATAAAATCAGTGACTTGTTCCAGATCATGAGTGTTGCGTTCCCATCCGTTTTACAGATCTGACTTGTTTGTATGCAGACTGTTGGTTCCCTTGCCTTTCAGGCGGATGCACTCCGGCTTCAAAAGAAATTATGATCCTTAATCGGGGGCGGGGTGACTGGACAGTATCGTTTCTCTGAAAACTGAAATACTTAGTCCAAGCCTTAACAGTTTTGGGACAAAACAGTATTAGAGGTTGTGGTTCTTGGTAGAAGAGGCCCGAAGATGGACACAGGATAAAGAGCACACTCTGGGTATCACATTTCTCTCCAGACAGGAAATTTTGCAAGGGATCGACTTGTCTTCCCAAGTGTCGCAGTGGTAGTTTTAGTGGTGGTGGTAGTAGTTGTGGTGTTGGTGGTTTAGTACAAGTTTTAGTGGTAGTTGTGGTGTTGGTGGTTTAGTACAAGTTTTAGTGGTAGTTGTGGTGTTGGTGGTTTAGTACAAGTTTTAGTGGTAGTTGTGGTGTTGGTGGTTTAGTACAAGTTTTAGTGGTGGTGGTAGTAGTTGTGGTGTTGGTGGTTTAGTACAAGTTTTAGTGGTGGTGGTAGTAGTTGTGGTGTTGGTGGTTTAGTACAAGTTTTAGTGGTGGTGGTAGTAGTTGTGGTGTTGGTGGTTTAGTACAAGTTTTAGTGGTGGTGGTAGTAGTTGTGGTGTTGGTGGTTTAGTACAAGTTTTAGTGGTAGTTGTGGTGTTGGTGGTTTAGTACAAGTTTTAGTGGTAGTTGTGGTGTTGGTGGTTTAGTACAAGTTTTAGTGGTAGTTGTGGTGTTGGTGGTTTAGTACAAGTTTTAGTGGTGGTGGTAGTAGTTGTGGTGTTGGTGGTTTAGTACAAGTTTTAGTGGTGGTGGTAGTAGTTGTGGTGTTGGTGGTTTAGTACAAGTTTTAGTGGTGGTGGTAGTAGTTGTGGTGTTGGTGGTTTAGTACAAGTTTTAGTGGTGGTGGTAGTAGTTGTGGTGTTGGTGGTTTAGTAGAAGTTTTAGTGGTAGTTGTGGTGTTGGTGGTTTAGTAGAAGTTTTAGTGGTGGTTGTGGTGTTGGTGGTTTAGTAGAAGTTTTAGTGGTGGTGGTAGTAGTTGTGGTGTTGGTGGTTTAGTAGAAGTTTTAGTGGTGGTGGTAGTAGTTGTGGTGTTGGTGGTTTAGTAGAAGTTTTAGTGGTGGTTGTGGTGTTGGTGGTTTAGTAGAAGTTTTAGTGGTGGTTGTGGTGTTGGTGGTTTAGTAGAAGTTTTAGTGGTGGTTGTGGTGTTGGTGGTTTAGTAGAAGTTTTAGTGGTAGTTGTGGTGTTGGTGGTTTAGTACAAGTTTTAGTGGTGGTTGTGGTGTTGGTGGTTTAGTACAAGTTTTAGTGGTGGTTGTGGTGTTGGTGGTTTAGTACAAGTTTTAGTGGTAGTTGTGTTGTTGGTGGTTTAGTACAAGTTTTAGTGGTGGTTGTGGTGTTGGTGGTTTAGTACAAGTTTTAGTGGTGGTTGTGGTGTTGGTGGTTTAGTACAAGTTTTAGTGGTAGTTGTGGTGTTGGTGGTTTAGTAGAAGTTTTAGTGGTGGTTGTGGTGTTGGTGGTTTAGTAGAAGTTTTAGTGGTGGTTGTGGTGTTGGTGGTTTAGTAGAAGTTTTAGTGGTAGTTGTGGTGTTGGTGGTTTAGTAGAAGTTTTAGTGGTGGTTGTGGTGTTGGTGGTTTAGTAGAAGTTTTAGTGGTAGTTGTGGTGTTGGTGGTTTGAGTAGTGGTTGTTTTGGTGGTGGTTGTGGTGTGGTGTTGGTGGTTTAGTACCAAGTTTTAGTGGTGGGTTGTGGTGTTGGTGGTTTAGTAGAAGTTTTTAGTGGTGGTTGTGGTTGTGGGTGGTGGTTTAGTAGAAGTTTTAGTGGTGGTTGTGGTGTTGGTTGGTTTAGTAGAAGTTTTTTAGTGGTAGGTTGTGGTGTTGGTGGTTTAGTAGAAGTTTTAGTGGTGGTTGTGGTGTTGGTGGTTTAGTAGAAGTAGTTTAGTGGTGGTTTGTGGGTTTGGTGGTTAGTAGAGGGTTGTGGTAGTTAGGTTGGTTTGTGGTGGTTTAGGAGAGTGGTTTAGTGGTAGTTGTGGTGTTGGTGGTTTAGTTAGAAGTTTTAGTGGTAGTTGTGTGTGTGTGGAGTGGTGGGGGTAGTAGGAAGTTTGGGTGGTAGGTTGTGGGGTGGTGGGGGTTTAGTAGAAGTTTAGGGTGGGTGGTTAGTGGTGTTGGTGGTTTAGTAAGTAGTGGTAGTTTAGGTGGGTAGTAGTGGTGTTTGGTGGGTTAGTGGAAGTAGGGGTAGTGGTAGTTGTGGTAGTAGGGTGGTTTAGTAGGGGTGGTTTTTAGTGGGGGGGTTGTGGGTTGGTGGGTAGTAGACAAGTTAGGTTAGGTGGGTGGGTGGGGTAGGTGTGGGTGGTTGGTAGTAGAAGTGGGGTAGTGGGGGGTAGAGGGGTGTGGGTTGGGGTCAGTGTAGTAGAAGGGGTAGTAGGGAGGGGTAGTGTAAGGTGTGGGTTTAGTAGTAGTTTTGTGGGGAGTGGGGTTGGTGTTGGTGGTTAGTAGGGGTGGTGGGGGGTAGGGGGTCAGTGGGGTAGGGGGGGGTGTTGGTGGTTTGGGGGTAGTTTAGGGGTGGTAGGTAGTAGTGGTGGAAAGTTGGTGGTTTAGGGGGGGTGTAGGGGTGGTGGTGTAGTTGTGGTAGGTAAGGTTGGTGGTGAAGTTTTTAGTTGGTAGTGGGGGGTGGGTGTCTGGTGGTTTAGTAGGAGGGGGGTGGGGGGGGTTGTGGTGTAAGGGTGGTTTAGTAGTAGTAGTTAGTAGGGTGGTAGGGGTTGTGGTGGGGGTGGGTTAGTAGGTAAAAGTAGTGGTAGGGGTGGGGTGTAGTTGTGGTGGTTGGGGTAGGTTTAGTGGTAGCAGGTTTTAGTTATGGTAGTAGTGGGGTGGAGTATGGTGGTTTAGGGTAGGAGAAGGGGTTGGTAGTGGTAGTGTGTGGTAGTAGGGGTGGTTGGTGTGGAGAGTTTAGGTAGTAGGTTGTTGTGTGTGGGTGGTGGGGGGGTAGGAAGTGGAGGGTAAGGGTAGTTGGGGGTGTGTGGTAGGGTAGTAGGTGGTGGGTAGTGGTAGGTTGGTGTTGGGTGGGTTAGTAGAAGTGGGTTAGGGGTAGGTTGGGGGGGGGGTTAGGGGGGGGGTAGTGTAGGGTGGGGGGGTTGTACGGTGGTGGGTAGGTAGGGGTAGTTAGGGGTGGGTAGTAGGTGTTGGGTAGGGTGGGTTTAGTAGGAGTTTTAGGGGGTGGTTGTGGTAGGTAGGGGTGAGGTAGTAGGTTGGGTGTTTAGGGGGTAGGGTTAGGGGTAGTAGGGGTGGGTGGTAGGGGGCGTAGGGGGTTTAGTAGGGGTGGTAGTAGTGGTGGTAGGGGTTGGTAGGGTTTAGAGGGTTAGTTTTAGTGCTTAGTAGGGTTAGGGTTGGGGTTAGTAGTAGGGTTAGGGGGTAGGGTTAGGGGTGTGGGTTAGGGTTAGTAGTTAGGTGGGGGGTGTGGGTTAGGGTTAGGTGTGGTGGTGTTAGTAGAAGTGGGTGAGGTAGTTAGTAGGGTTAGGGTTAGTAGTTAGTAGGTAGGGTTAGTGGGGGTTGGGGTGTGGGGGGTTAGTGGTTGTAGTTGGGGGGGGTTAGGGTTGTAGGGTT